ATGTTTGACCCAAACAGCCACAACTTTGTCATTTCTTTAAGAAATGTTTGACCTTTAATCCTACATAATGGTTGATTTTAACATGAAGGTGAATCTGTAAAAATGTGCACAGAGGCTTCAAAGATCAGCTGTAATATTTAAATATTTCCAGTCACATAAAGCACCAATATATTGCACAATTGAGCAACAACATTAGCTTTTTCCCTGTACACTGGTTGACACCACATTGTGTTGCTTCACCTATAGACCATATAGTCTGCTCTGAATTCAACCACATACAGAAATGATGTCAGATGTGGATTGGTTGGTTAAATATATTAATCTGTGTCAAAGTTCAGGAAGAGAAAAATAATCTGGAGCAAAACATCCTTGTTACTACAAACTCCAGGTCGAAGTACATCGAAGTCTAAAATATTTATTCATCCCAGTATGCAGATTATTGGAGAAATGTCCTGCTCTGGAATCTAACATTTCTGAAAAACAAGCCGTTTCCATTCCCAGTTGGGAACAAAGTGCATTTCTCTTTCTATTTCGGATGATGACATCATTACCAAAACAGAAGGGACCGAGATAACAGATTGAGTAAACAGTGATTACAGACAGCAGGGAAGTTTGCAACAGAGATATGTGTCCGTTTGTAAAGTTTTGCTTAGCAACCTAACGTTTCTACACTTAAAAAGTTCAATTTAGAGCAAATTTTCAGAATCTGCATGTTTCTGGATAATCAAATGCATTTCAAGGATTTATTATCTAACAATGAGATAGAATGATAAACTAAACCAAAGAATTTATAATGGAAAAAAAAAGTATGAAACTGAAAAACAAAAATAACTCAACCCCACCCCCCACCCCCACCCCTACAATTTTTTGTATAAATTAATGGCAAACAATATTGTTTAATAGTGCTAGAAGATTAGTAAAATCATTTTCTGAAAATAACTGTTAAGAATGTACAGATTACAGTTTTCTAGGCCAAATCTGAGTTAGATTTTTTTTTTATTTACCGTAATTTCTGGACTACAAGCTGCTACGTTTTTCACACGCATTGTACAACGCGACTTATACAATACTGTGGATAATTATAAATTTTTTTGACAGGCTAATGATATATATATATATATATATATATATATATATATACACACACGTGTTTTTTTAACCAGCCGTGTTACAGGCACTGTTCAGAAAAAGAAAAAAAAACATTTACTGTACGTATTTGTGTAAGTTACCAGTATGTATTTAATTAAAAGCTTTAAAAACCTTTCTGTGTAAATATCTCATGTTACAATGTGGACACCTGCAGCTTATACACAAGTGTGGCCTATACAAATATTTTTTATTTTTAAATTTAGTGGGCGCTGCTTATATTCAGGTGTGCTCAATAGTCTGGAAATTATGGTATTTATTTGATAATCTAATTTTTTTTTAGCGCAGAGTGCATAGACGCTGGTTTAAAACACAGTATGGCAGCCCCCCGTAAAAACAGATTTCTCTACTTTAATTCTCAACGATGGAAGACAGAGAGACATCAAATTTCTTTAATGCTTGACGACAAAAGTGTAGCTAAAAAAACTGATTTATCTAAGCCAGGGCTATTCTACAAAACTTCTCAGAGGGCCACAGTTTCTGAAAGCCAACAGCTCGGGGGCCAGACATCCAGCAATTAAAGTCATTATGTAAATAAACCAAATATTACAATGATCTGTTACCTTTTAAATTTGTTTGTTTTATTGAATCATAAATGCAATAAACAAAGCCCAAAACACGACCACCCCCGAAAAAAAAAAA